TCTAGGTATGGTTTGAATCAGGAGTTAGCGAAGACGCGCTCAGCTGCCACTTTCAGCTCATGTATCCGGGTCGGACGGCGTGCTTTGAGTGTATGCCACCACTGGTGGTGGCTGCAGGCCTGAATGACACTAAAGTACTCAAACGTGATGGTGTCTGTGCCGCCTCCCTTCCTACCACCATGGCTATCGTTGCCGGTCTCATGGTACAAAATGTTCTCAAATTTCTGCTCAACTTCGGTGAGGTATGATCTCATTTCGTCGGTAGCATCAATGCTTTTGTCACTTCTGTCACAGTACTCAGAATTCTCTTCCTTAACTATTATACAATGTAGCGCAGATTAGCGGTGATTATTCACATGTCATCCTTGATCCGCTTTTTAAAATCATTGGTTAAACAAGGAGCTTTCAACTGAGGAATACATACTTAGCATAAACGCTCAAGCTGATCTTATCTGCGTTAGCTCAGGTATGATGGCAAATGTTATGCTAGGTTTCTAGCTACTTTGGCTACGGCGCAGCCAAGGACACGGTATACCGAGTAGATCTGCGTCCAAATCCTTTGTGTGCGGATGCGTGGTGCCGTCAGCGACAGAAGGAACGACGAGCGCAGCTGATCATACGAGGTCTACCGGAGGACGCGCCGTGGGACGCAGAGGTGCAAATGTCCGTCGCAGCAGAACGTGAGCGATTAGCTCGCGAGAATGCAATCGCTCCTCTCCATGCAGACAACGAGTTTCAGATCGAGTTAGTTGGCTCCTCCGTTGTTGATGAAACTTGCTCAGAGGATGCCGCTCCTGTTGCCTCTGTGGTGACAAGTGAGGAATTGGCTGAAACAGGGAGGAGTGACAATAAGGTCTCTAATGACGGTCCAAGTCTTTACGAGTTGATGGAGAAACTGCGAGGCCTCTGAACCAATTTGCAGCCTTCGTTCCCCCTTTCTTCAATCGGCAACTTTCCCTCAATCCATTCCATGGTCTTTTTGTATTCTGATTTGAGTTATTTGAGTTGTTAAAAGATAATGCTATTGGTAATTCAATAAGTCGAAAGTCTTTATGCTTTCATAATGGTTACTTGTGCCTACAGCTGGCGTTAAACGTCGGTGTTTGTACTGAACACGAGGACAGAGCTTTTGTGTGCCTTCTAAAACGGTTTTTCTTAGTATTAGGGAAACTCTTATGCGCATTATAGCTCGTTACTTTTTATGCTTTAAGCGCAACGAAAGGTCATTTAAACTATCCAATAAAGTCTCCTTTCACAACCTTAAATATGCTTCCAAACTGTTTTTTCCTTGTTTTTTGCAGAATCCAGTTCTCTGCGTTTTACTGACACTAAGACCAGTAGGTGTTAGGCCCTATCAAGGTAAGTTTCACTTAACTGCGCAGCTCTTTAGTGACGCAAAGACACTCCACTTTGGTGTGGTTTTGGTGAGCAAGTAACTTTTCCGTTGATGAATGAATAAAGGGTAGCTGGCAGAGTGTCAATGCCTCATGTTGGTTGACATCTCCTGCAGTCAGTCGTACATCATCAGCATCAAACGCCACAGGAAATAATGGCGATGACAGTAGAGGGTGTTGGAGTGTAGTTTTATGTTACTGTGTTTGAATAACTCCCGCCGCCTTCGATCAATGGATTTCACGTCTTTGGTCACATGATATCTAACAACCGAGACTTATCATGCCTCATCAAAATGACGATGACGATGAAGAAGCTGATGATTCCATTCAGGAGGGTATCTACCGTCCATGGAGCACATATCTCTGCAGCTGTCAGGAGAACTGTAGTGCGTTGTCATTACTTTACCTGCGTTTATAGGTTTTACTTAAGTTTTCATCCTGTTATTTGATTTTGTCTTTACTCTATGAACTTTAGTGAATTGTCTGTGTGTTCCAACTTTCCTCCCCTGCTTTATGTGTGAACTGCTTCACTACGTATTCGGACTTGGGTGGTTTCGCGCATTTGGTCTGGGTATTCTCCTAACTCCAGTAGCCCCTTTCCTTGTCACTGTTGCACGCATACGAATCCGGAAGAAGCATCAACTTCAGGTGTGATAGACGCGACTATGCCATCTTAGCCAGGTTGCGTATACTTTTCCGATCATACATGCCATTTGGGTATTAACTGCAGTATTTCATACTTTTACACCATGGAATAATATAACAACTTGACAGTGTTATTCAAGCGTAAAATAATGAGCCCCTTACAACATAAAATTTTGATCAGACGTGTTCTGGCATCATTACTAATAGGTAGGTTTTTTACTGATCCAATGTCAATTTATCCATCCCTCTATAGAATTGGAAATGGTTGACCACTATTGCTCTTCGTCTCCTTTATTAACATTAAATTTATTGTTTTGTAGGGCAATATTTGTGTTGATGTGTGCTGCACCACGCTATGCTTTCCCTGTTCGGCATGTCAAGTGCGTGATGAGATTGTTACTCTGCGAAGAGACCACCGCTGGCGCCTCGCCCATCCCTCACCCCCAGGACAACCGAAGCATTCACCCTACATTGCGCCTTTCTGTGAGGCATTTGCTAACCGCCACAAACGCGTTCCCAGAAGTGATAGTGACATTGGCAGCAGTAGTGTTAGTAGTGGCAGCAGCTCTATATCTGACAGCGATGCGACCTCCTCTGATAGCAGTTCAGAGGAAGGCAGTAGTTCAGACTCAGAGGATATCAGGAGGGAAAGGAAAAGATAGAGAATTGCTATTGGTCCCATTTTTGCGAGGACTTCGGTCTTGTTTAGAGCTTGTTGTGAAACCATCGACGCCATAATACTAACAAAACTGATAATGATGTCAGGAATGAAAAATAACTACGATAACGAGGCTGCGATAGTCAAAACAAAAGGACAAAATGTATGTTTTACATTGGGAGTGATTTTAGTGGCAGAGATATTTAACCGTTTTAATCTGAAACAGTACGTGATTTTAATCCAGCTGAAAAATACGCTTTAATATCCTTTGCAACTGAACTTAAGTACTAAACAAAAGCACATCCGCAGTAATGACATGGTCAGACAGAACATGATTCACGTAGCTTTTGTCCTGTTTATTTTGACTTGTGATGTTGGTGAGCACTATCGCCGGTATATTACGTCAATTTTTCACCAAACCTAGTAGTCAACTGCTTTTGATATGGAGGGCCAAAGTAGCTAGCATGCATTTGTTCGTGCCTCATTTCTGCACAAGGCGCTTGTGGTGCCCTAATGGCATTTGTTTGAGGGATTCGGCTACACAGGTTTATGTGCTACCAAGTTAAGATTCAGCGAAATGGCTTCACTATGAGAGGTAGGTGTGAAATACACATCCGACGGAAGTGAAATAGCAGATCCTCAAGTCTGCTGGAAGGCAAATTTGATGGGGTTTAATACTCTTCCTCGTGATTCTTAACAAGAAAAGTCACAAATGAGACTAAATTGTACTGTATCATAAAAATAGACGAAATGATGGAG